GATCTCTCTCATCATTGTTATCCAACTCTGTGAGTGTTGTTCAGGGGTTAGGTGTTACCGGTCATGTCAGGCTTCCTTGCACCATCAGGATACCATCTGTGGTGCAGTGTCCCTAACGAGCTCATTATTCCAAGAAAGAGACCACAGGCTTTGGTTCTAAGTAACAAAACTTAGCCAGATTTATTTTTCACAAACAAGCCTAGACACTAGCTTCCATGGCCAAGTGATACACAGTGCCAGCCAGGTCATTTGCAGGCATGGTACAGGCATGAACATAACTGTTAAGCCCAGTACAAAGCATTAAAAGTTCCCAGGCCCCTTTTTATACAGCAATCAAAATAACTTTGTGTTTGGTACCAAGTTCGCCTTTTGTAAAACCTGCATAAAGGTTGGATTTTAAGAGCTTCTGTAGGAGTATTAAGTTTGTAATTTGATTGGCCCTATAGCCTTCTCAGCCTAGGGTGAATGCAGTTGGTTTGTTTCACTTCGTCTAAAACATGAAATTTTCCCCAGATGAGATGGCCCATATGGTGCGTTGTTTATTCTGTAACGCTGGGGTACAGAAATTCAAAAAGCCCAAGGCAGAATCACTCTAAAGTTATGCCATTTTCTGTAAGAGGCTTAGTTTAGACTGGTAGCAAACAGAACATGCATTTGTCCTTTAGCTGGGGGGGGGCAAATCTTAGACCGGGGTCTGCCATTTTTAAACCAGTCTGTGTGTGCTGAACTTCTGTTCTGTTACAAGTATAAACTGATTTCCAATCACTTATACCAGGAAAAGTGAAATGTCTGTACTTCGCCTAAGGGTCTGTTCCTGCCTTAAAGGCATACAAAGGGCCCCATACAGACCCTTTGCACTATAGTGAATTCTACTCAGATTGAAGGATTGAAATGGACTATTTGCTCCACAGGGAATACCCTGGGTAACATGGTAGTGTGAATTTAGTCCCACATCCAGTATTACCAGAGCAGCTGTAGCTGCCTACTGAGTTTACAACCTCATTGCACTAGAAACTATACCATACACAGAGACTATAAACTTTTCAGGGCAGTGGGGCTATGTGAATAGACAAAGGTCAGAGAAGGGAAGCTTTGTCATCGCCATTTAACAGAGGCTGAATGGAAGCACAGAATCATTCTTACCTTCTTACCTGTCCAAATTCAGAGAGGAAGCCTGTGGTAGAGCCCAGATCTCTTGTATCCTAATCCAGTGCCTTTTTCCACCAAGGCCTTAATGGAAGTTTGGCTTCTGACCTCAGTGAGCAATTAATGAACCCAGAACCCAACCTCCATAAACCATGGCCAAAACTTGTAGGTTGATATCCAAAGTTAATGGACTCCTGAAGGTGCCCAAAATGAGAAAAAAGGAACAGCAAACCTAAATTGTCACATCGCATGGCTTGCCTTGCTGCACACCTATAATTCAGTCTCCTTGCTATCCAAAACTGCAGCAAATCCTTTGACTTGACAGGCTGACATCCTATGAGGCATGGAAAGCCAGCCAACCTTGTCTGTAACAAGCTTCATAGTTCCCATATATCCACCCCAAATAGGCATGGGAAGGTGGGCAGCTCCCCAGCTTGAAAAAAACCCTGAGTTAAAAGGCAAATGTCGTTCGCTGCCAGAGTACTGCCTCTTTCTAGACTAGCTGGCTCACTACTCACTTAACTTGGGCTATCTACTGACCAGTTCAGTTTTGTACTGATGGATCTTCAAAGGAAGCTTTGTTTTGGTGTGCCAAAAGATAGCGACTTTATAAACCTCTTTGTATGAATGTGAGGTTTGACTTCTGGAAGGAAATTGGAAAACGCCAAACTTTAGTCCAGCTGAAGCTCTGTCCCATGAAGAGAAGGCTCCCAAGCACTTATCTGCATGGCATGAATAAATGGGAAGGAATATTATAGCATCCCTGGAAACTAGCATAATAAGTAATGTGTGCAACAGCAGATGGGACCAGGGTGCAGGCTGTAGAGCTGCGGTGACTGCTAATTTGGGCAAAAACTCCCAAAATTCCCCAGGGATTTGGGGGAGAGGAGTGCAGGGGAAAAAGGAAAAGGAAGAGAGGAGGAGAGGGAGCTTGCAGCCTAAGTGAGAGGAAGAAGTCAGTGTTTGCAACCCCTACACAAGGAGCCCAGCCAGCCCTACCTAGGAGGAGTGCACAGTGGAGCTTCGGTCCCACTAGCTGGGTCAACCAGGACTGTGTGGACTGAAGGACCTGGACTCAGAGTGCTCTGGGACTAAAGGCTTGTTTAAGGACAGCTCTGGTGGTGTGGGGTGAAAATTAAGGTGCTGACAGTGTTGTTGATGTTCTTTTATCTTTTACCTGTTCCCTCTCTTTGTCCCGCTGCCTTGTGACCCTAAACCCCATGATTTTTCTGTATGAAAGTGGCAATTTACCGTTTCTTGTGTCAGTTTCTGGTGCTGGGGCTGGCACACTACCAACATGAACCTGTGAAAACTCAGACCAGTGGAGAAACAGCCCCAGAGCTGTATTAATAAGAAAGCCTTATGCTGTCATTTGGCTTCTGTGAAGTACCTCCAGCATGTTACCACACAAACCATGCCTGAAGTATTCACAGCCTGCTGTCTAAGGGCCCTCCTCAACCACACAACATTTCTGTGAATCTAGCTATGCCATTTTGCTTACATGAAGATATGGTTTCTTACCAGTGGCTCCTACAAAAGAGTGCCCTACCTTTCAAAAGCAATTAATCAGGTTTCATTACCTCCAAATTGCTTTCTCTTAGCTTGTAATTAAGCAGTAATATCCAAGGACTCTGAAATTTTATAAGATAATTAACCATACTGAGTACTGTGTCCAAGGTAAGACAAACTGGTAGACATCATAAAAAAAAAAGTCTCTCTCAATGAACTGATCCCTCACTGTATTTCCTAAAATTACATTCAGCAGGGGTTGAATGTTCAACTAATAGTTCTCCAGAAATTAAGTGAATTTATTCTATCTATAAAAGACAATTGGTGACTTTAAAAAAGTATTTCCTATCTAAAACTTTCTGAAACAAGCAATAATTGTTAAGGAATTACTTTAAGTGAGCCTAAAATATATTAGTTTATTTTTATATAAAAGAGAGATGAATTGTTGTGTTTAAAATATAAACTATTCATATATATACCAATAATCTGTTCAGAGTTTATTGCATTTTATATAAGCACAGGAAGGGAAAGGTTTACATGTACATAAATAACTCTAATACCATAATATATTAGGTATGCCCAAAATAGATTATTGGATTGAGCTAGTGATTTGATGTTGAATTTAGTATATGAAAAACCAGAGGTGACATTTCCTCTCATTTTTACTAGCCACTCACAGCACAGTTTAGTACAAATTAAATATGCCAGTGAACAGTTTGTTTTGCTTTTTCTTTTTTTTTTTAAGTTCTCCTCCTCTTCCCATAACCCATGGCACATAATAGAAAAACAGTTCACGTTATTCCAGAGTTGGATAATGAGAACATCATACATAGGGTTTATGTCTGCAGACTTTACTCACATCAAGGCATCAGACTCTCTCATGAAAACACAGGTAAAGAAATTTGTAAAGAATACAGAAATCTGTCTTGAAAGGGTACAATCACATATTTAAGTTATTTTATAATGTATTGTATAGCCCAAATGCTGTATCTCCCCATTTCCTGCTTCCATAAAACCATAATGGGAACCATAGTGAGGTAAGAAGTTTATGCTAGGAACTGCCATCTACAGCACAAATTGAATCATTTTCATAGATTCATAGATTGTAAGGGGCTGGAAGGGACCTTAGAAGATCATCAGGTCCAGCCCCCCTGCACTAGGCAGGAAAGACAGCTGGGGTCAGGTGACCCCAGCAAGGTGACCGTCCAGTCTCCTCTTAAAGATTTCCAGGGTAGGCGATTACACCACCTCTGGAGGGAGCTTATTCCACAGCCTGGACACCGTGACTGCAAATAAGTTTTTCCTAGTGTTAAGCCTGAAATGGCCTTCCTTGGAGTTTGTGGCCATTACTCCTGGTTTTCCCCAAGGGTGCCCTGGTGAACAGCTGTTCGCTGAGGCCTTGATGTATTCCCCAATGTAGAGATAAACTACTATCAAGTCCCATTTCTGTTCAGTTTGTGTTTCTCTTTGGAAGCAACTGCATCATAGCAATGTTTTATATAGTCTATTGATTTTGGACTGTTTACTTTTTCATGGTAGACCCTAAAGCATAGTGCTGAAATTGAGCAATACATAGACTCCAAAATAAAATGAAAAATGCATCATTTTTAGTTTTCCTCCCCTCCCCCAAAAGAATGCTTTAATTAAGCTCTCCAGATGTGCAAGCATTGCTTGTATTCATTGTCTTCCATGGTAATGTAAGTCATCTCATGATAACATTTACATCCTGTTTAAAAAAAAGTTTTATATCTGCATTATACTTATCCTCACATAAAAATAAACAGGGATCAGTTGGCATACAACTGGGACATGGGTAGAGGAACTTTAGCAAAGTAAATTATTCTTAAACTTGCTTCAACTATTGACTCAAGTTTTCAAAATTTCAAAAGTTTTCATTTAAGTCAGGGATGTCAGACTAATTGGGTCCTACAGGCCACATTGGGCTGCGAGGTTTGTGGGCTGGATCCAGACTGAGGGGCTTCCCATGAGCCAGATGACCTGTGAGTGGCAGCCTTAATTCCTCAGGATTTCAGAGGTTTCCATAACAAAGGAACATCTTGTTTCTGTTTAGCTTCTTTGCCTTGATAGTTTAATCCAAACTAAAGTGGGTTTTCAAAGTTGGTTAAATTAAACAGAAAGGGGTCAGAAACAACTCCACTTGTAGACTAGGCAAGCTATTAAATCCACTTGGACAATGGAACGTAAGTGCCTTAGAAAATTTTGCCCCTGGCCTATTCTGAGGACAAAATGAGAGGCCTTCCTGGAGACTTACAGCACATTTTCTAAAGTGTGTTTACTTTTCTACAGGTACTGTCTTTGGATAGAGATCACCTTTAAAAGGAAACATGGATTTAATAAATTCAACTGAACAAAACTATACTTCAGAAGAACTATTTAAAAGAATGACATCCAAGATTCTTGTTTCAATTACTCTGTCTGTGCTTGCACTAATGACAACTGCCATCAATTCTCTAGTGATGACTGCAATAATTGTGACAAGGAAACTCCATCACCCTGCCAACTATTTAATCTGCTCCCTTGCAGTGACTGATTTTCTAGTTGCAGTTTTAGTAATGCCCTTCAGCATTGTATATATTGTAAAGGAGACCTGGATTATGGGGCAGGTGGTATGTGACATTTGGTTGAGTGTTGACATTACATGCTGCACATGTTCCATCCTGCATCTTTCAGCTATTGCTTTGGATCGGTACCGAGCAATCACAGATGCTGTGGAGTATGCCAGGAAAAGGACACCTAAACACGCTGGCATCATGATTGCAGTGGTGTGGATCATATCCATTTTTATCTCTATGCCTCCTCTGTTTTGGCGACATCAGACAACTAGCAGGGATGATGAATGCATCATCAAACATGACCACATAGTTTTTACCATTTATTCCACATTCGGAGCATTTTACATCCCCCTGGCATTGATTCTGATCCTTTATTACAAAATATACAAAGCAGCGAAGACATTTCACAGAAGAAGCGTCAGCCGGATTGTAAGGGAGGAGGTAAATGGACAAGTCCTCTTGGAGGCGGGTGAGAGAAGCACCAAATTGGCTTCAACACCATGCACAGTTGATAAGTCATCTGATCCCTTGGACTGTGATAAAATTAATATCTCGTTACGAAGCCCCAAGTCTGAATCCAAACAAGATAAAGCCTGGAAAAAACAAAGAATCTCTAGCACAAGAGAGAGGAAGGCAGCAACCACCCTGGGCTTGATTTTGGGTGCATTTGTGATCTGCTGGCTCCCCTTTTTTGTAAAAGAAGTAGTTGTTAACACCTGTGAGAGATGTCACATTTCAGAAGACATGTCTAATTTCCTGGCATGGCTGGGATACATCAATTCTCTAATTAACCCATTGATCTACACAATCTTTAATGAAGACTTTAAGAAAGCATTTCAGAAGCTTGTGCGATGTAGGCAATACCTTTGAGTGTGTTTGTTCTTATTATATTGAACCTGCAAACTGATTTTTATATGTGTGTGTGTGTGTGTATGTCTGTGTATATACACACACATGCGTGTGTACACATTTATGAAGACTAGGACTAAATATGTTGTGTTGAAAAGGCATTAAGACTGCACCTACATTTTAAGCATATGATTTTTGTACCAGTAGCACCTTGAAGTGCATGTTGTCTAAATTTTAAAAAGATGGGTTATTTGTGATGAATGTTGGGCTGGAAAGGGAGGGCTTCCATATACATTTGTGCCCCTGATCCAGCTAAGATGTATGCTCCTGTCCAGTTTGAAGCACAGTAGTAATCCCACTTAACTTGGTGAAACTATTCACATGCTTAAAGTTATGAATGAGTTTAAGTCTTTGCAAAATCAGAACCTAAAACTACAAGGTTAAATGCTAATTTCCTTGCTCAGTGAAAAAAGTGGCAGACGTCAGTGGGAGTTTTGACCGAGCAGAACTCCTGAATAATGTGGTCCATACAACAGTTTTGAACAATAAAATCGTACCTTTAAGGTAATGGCTCAATCAGGCCCACAGTACAAAGTCATGCCACTCCAGCCTGCTTTCCAAAGATGCAGCATTCTAGCACTGGACCCTGCCTCCTTGTCATCCTGACACCTCCCTGTTTCCTTTGCTGTGAGATATATTCCTGGAGCTCCTGGAGGGGGCACTACCTGTACACCCCTCACCGTAGGGCAGGCATTTAATGAAAGTCAAGCATTTTGTGTCCTCCACAGTCCAAATATTTCCCTAAGCAAGATGAACAAGCACAGCCAGAGCTCTTTGTAGGAGTAGAATACATAGAATATTAGAGGCTATGACTCACTGTTTCAGCACTTAGAAGAGATTGGTGGTTATGTTAAGCATCAGATTTCATATGGCCATGGAGAGGAAAAGCAAGAGGGAGAGAGACCATCCAAGATGCCTGCCAGCTTTTATCCCGTTTCCTTCCCTAGATGCCAGCTACATGCACAATTCTTACACAATCCAAGGAGGATTGTTCTCTTTGGAACCCAAGCTCCAGAAAGAGAAGGCTGAGGGAGGAATCCTAACCCAGAGGTGGCTCTTAGATATTCAGGGAAACATTTACTAACACCTGTGCAAAGCTACCAGTCATACCAGCTCCACTCATTCAAATGCAGACCTGTGACTAAAAGCCATTGTGCGACTGTTCTAAAAGTAAGAGTTCGGTGGTTCACAACCTTCCAAGGCAAGATATGCCAGTTTGCCTGTCTAAACCCTTTATGGCTGCATCCACACGAGTAGATGTGTGCATTTGCAGCAGCACAAATAATAGCGGCACAGATTTGTGCCCCTACTTTGTACCGCAGTGCATGTCTCTGATCATGTGCTTTGCAGCTGGACAAATTGTCCCGCTGCTCCATGTGCTGCAGAGAGGGCTGGCTGGGGCACAGGTTCCTCAGTATGAGGCTAGCTGGCAGACAGCCCCCATGCTGAGACACCCTGTGACCCAGCCAGCTGGTAAGTGGCACACGGAAATGAGGGAGCAGGCAGCCCTGGGCTCTAAAGTGGAACCCCTGCGCTGAGTTATGCAGAGACATGGGAGCAGCCAGCCCAGGGCTGCCTGCTCCCATCTCAAGGCACACGGTGCCCCAGCCAGCCAGGGTGCAGGGTGCCTCAGTGCAGGGGTTCCACAACACTTGGAGACTGGGGACTTGGAGACTTCCCTACCTCCGTGTTTGTCCCAGCACACACCACTTTGGTGTGCTTTGTGCTGCTTTTTTCTCCCCCCTTTTTTTTTTCGCTACCAGAAACTCCTGATAGCAAATTTTGCCCCAGGCCTGCAAATGAGCAGTGCCATGCATGATTTAACAGGCAGCACACGCAGTTTGTGGCACCGCAAAGAGGTTTGTAGCATTGCAAAGAGGTTTACGGTGCCACCAACGGCAAGTCTGGATCCAGCCTGCTAGTCTGTGCTCATTGCCAACCATTCAGTTATATACACGAGTCACTGGCACCTGGGCTACTCTGAACCCCAATGTCAGATACAAGCAGTTGCACTGCCCTCCAAAAGAGTCCTGGTTGGTGAGGAGAGGGCACCTTTTACCAAAGCCTGAAGTACAATACATTTTCAGAGACCTTGGTTTAAAAAATATTTCTTCATTAGAAGTCTACTCTGAGTTTTTGTTTCTTTAAAAAAAACAAACCTCAGAGACAGAATTTGTGCACTCATTAAGCAAAAAATCCTGTGTGTAACCAAAGGAGAGCAGTGCTGTTTTCTACATGTCTGAACCCTAACTTTGACAGCTTTCACTGTTTTGTCAATTAAGTGCCAGTTCAGACAATGACCATGAAAGAAGCTTTTCTAACAAAATGACTATCAGGTTTGAGGTCTGTCATGTATTTAACTTATTTGTTTCTGCCACATGAAACCTACAGCCAGTGTTCTACCTTTACCACCAGCCTCCAGTTGAGATGTTATTAAAAAATGTCAACAGTAGAAACTGCAGATTTGCTTTACTGTGGATTCAGCCAAACCATGTGGGAATCCGATTGAAAGCTTAGCCACACCATCTACTGTAGCTCAGCAGTAGCACAAGTAGATTTTGAAAACACAAAGACATGCCAGAATAGAACATGGTTGTACATAAATATTCTTCATGCTTATGGTAACCCAAAGCATTTTGCTACCATTGCAGTCACCGTGTACACAGTCTCAGAAGCTACTCTGTCCTCAGCAGTAGCTTTGAGTATTATACTGAAGGAGAGAATAATTGCTTGAAACATCAGTTGTGACCTGTTTTTTATGAAATGTCCCATGGAATCCAACTTTCTAATAGGACAGACTGCCACAGGAAGGTAAATGAACCTCACCGTAACATCTCAACTGAAGGACTTCACTTCCAATGCTCCCCTGGTACTACAGTCTCCAAAAGAGATACCTTGGGGTGAGATTTGAGCTCAGGAATTTCTGACTCAGAAGTGTGAGTTCGGCCAACCAAGCAGTTGTGTATGGTACCCCTACTCAACCCATTTTCATAGTGCTTGCTGAGGGGTAGAATATGTTATATTTCCACTTGTGAGAAGTTTGGTGACACGTTGCAAAAGCAAATTTGAGACAAAAATAGGTATTGCTGTAGAGAAAGGTACTGAAGCTATCACTTCTAAATATAATAGATCAGGCTCAAAGACTGGAACAATCTGTAGATAAACAGAAATTAGCTGTCATTTCTGCACTGTTAACAGTATTATACTCTGAATCTAATTAAGCTGCTATACATTTCTCAAGATGCAGGGGTGGTTTCTTTTGTATTGTTTTCACTGAGCTTTATCTGCTCATTGTTGAGCACCTGAATGGTGGAAGATGTGACTACAAGTTTACATTGACAAGCAAAGTAATTATTCTATTAAAAGCACTTGCAGATTGTGGGACCATCTTTTTTTTTATTGTCTGCCTGCCTACCTTTCATCACTCCTTATTCTCTCATGGAGCTCAGTACCACCATGACACAAACAGTCCCCATCCATCACTGCTATCATTGCATCTATCGAGTGTGTCCAAATGAGTGTGCAAGTGTAATTGGTGATGCCGCAGACCACTCATCTGTGGTGCTTCAAATCACACACAGTGCACATGCAGGCATTCATCACATTGCTAATTTGCAGTATGGTGGGTTTTTTGACACCAGGAGATCCTGGTGTCAAAAAAACCTGCATCAGTAAACAGGGTGGTGCACATGGCAGCAGTGTGTGACACCAAAAGCCAGAGCCTGGCCATCCACAGCCACGCTATGGCTGCTGGCCAGGCTCCAGATGCCTGAATTACCACCACTAGAGCTCTGGGAGACCCACAAGACCCCAGGTAAGGCTGCTGGGGCCAGCCTCTCCTATCCCACCCAGGGCAACTTGCTGTGCATGAGAGCACACATGCAGAAGCATTCCCCAGGGACAATTAGCAGCAGCACAAATATGTGCTGCTGCTAGTTGTCCCTGGGAATGCATGCTTCCAGTCATGGGGATATGCCCAGAATGTTTATCCACATGGACAATGTCTGAAAGAAACCTTGATTTCTCTTTTGAGTAAATAAGGATTAAATGTTCTGATCAGATGATCCCGCATCTGCTATATTCAGACTTTGGCTTTCACCCACCCACAACATATGCCATTAGCAAAGGAACACTGTAAAGTGGAACACTGCTAACAATTTGGTACCTGAATTGTTTGGGGGGGTTTTAATGAAATGTAAGAGAAGGAGATGCTACACAGTTTTACTTATTCTGAGGAAAAAAAAATTTAAAGAATTTCCTTGCTGTAAGAAAAGTAGCTGTTGGTGAATAGAAAAGCTTATATACACACCAATTTCTATGTATATATGTATCATTATATACAGCAATCAATCATCTATATATATTGATCAATATCAATATCAAAATTGATCAATGTTGATATTGATCTATTTTTCACTAAGATATTTATAGCACATATCCTTTTTTAGAATTGCTTGGACAATGTGTGATCCTGTTCCCTTTGCAGCTGCTCTCTTAGTATCCATTCATGGCTTGCCAACCAATTTTGATTTTTGTTTTAATTTGAAGCTGGGTTTGGAATGCTGTCCAGCTCCTAGTCCATCTATTACAGCAAATCGGAGCTTAAAATAGCTGAACAGGCCACCCTTTGCACACATCAGCACATTGATGAAGGCAAGTCCAAAACAGATACTTTTTTTTTTCTCTCTTATTTCTCCATCTTTTACCTCTTATCCTTTATTGTTGTCCTTTTCCTCTGATGGTCTTTTCCTTTTCTTACCATAATGGGCAAAGGAATTGTTGCATTTATTTTAATGATGAGGTTTCACTTGTTTGTTTAAAGCTATAGCATAAAACATCCACCCAATCAAAATACGCTTTTGGACAATCATTATCCTCAGCCATTCTGTAATGGTTTGAAACACTAGTTATTTCAATGTTAATAGCTCTATCTTTGTCCCTGGTAGAAAAAAAAAGCAGAT